TTTTCCTGGATTTGGCTGTATTTTCCTTTAGTTTGCTTTGGAACCTTAACTCTCATTTTTCCCGAGTTTCCTTTCGCTGAAGTAATAATGTAAAAAACCTGTCTGAACATGTAGTAAAACAGGAAGTCAGAGATGAAGAACAGTGTCGAAGTTGGTCATCTTGCCTGACAGGGGATTTTGGCAGGCACTTGGGGAAGAAGGATGGTAAAAAAGGCAGATAAAGTGATCCCAGCTTCCAACCTCTAGCTGTCCACAGTTTGGGAACTTTGAACCAGGAATGACATGAGACCTCTACATTCAATAGCAGCTTGTGGACCTGTCTGTCAGTGCTTTTGATGCTTTCTTGACCCATTTTTGGCTTTTTACAGTGTCCTGAGATAATCTTGCACAGCTTTAAGAATTTGTGCCTAGGCCTCTTGTTTGATGATGTAAACAACCTTTTTAGTAGTTTTGCATGTCAAACAGGGACACACGCAGAGGTGGTGTGTTACAGCTACACATGTCAACTTGAATTTTCCGGTCTCAGAGGCGAAGGGCTGTGGCCCGGTCTCTTTCCTCAAGGCAAGGGGGGCAGTACTAAGGAGAGGGGAAAGGCTTTCTTTTTCTTTGTCCATGGGACAACAAGAAATTGAGACTGGTCCACGTGTACTCAGCCATAGGTACTGCTTTACATGTGCTTGCCCCTACTTGAGTGGAGGCAGGACCAGCATGCGCAGCTTGCCATTGGCAAACTAGGCAATTGTCTGCTGCCTGTTGGCTTTGCTGGGCCTCGAGTCAGTCCTAGGCTCAACCTGTGTCCAGTAGCTGAAGGTGTTGGCTTATAACTCTTTTGGAGTTGGCTTGTTCCCTCTTTTGCATTGCCTGTTGGGCTCGTGGTGTCTTGTGGAAAGACACTGCAGGAACAGATCGTTGGGGTGTTGTAGCTTACAGAGTTCTGTCTGTGACACTCTTTTTGTAGCTTTATTCCGCTTCTAGAAGTTCTTCCTTCTTCCTGTAAAGCTAGTAGTGAAGCCATGTGGCAGATCAGATGGCTGGTACCACTACACATGCAAGCAGCCACACTTGGACCCAGCTTTTGAAGACAGCAGTTAAGAGGACAGGATCTGCCATTGGGCAAAGAATATATCAAAGTCAGAACTGGTTGCATGTTCTCACTGCCCTGTTGTCCTGTACCAGCGAGACAAATGCATTTGCACGAATTGATGTTTTTCCCCTTTTCCTAGCAGTGGGAACACTGCTGCTGGTTCCTTACCTGAGCAATGCAAGAATTGCTTTGTCAGATCATACCAGATCTCTGCCTTGACCAGAGTGAGCGGAGACCTTGGTGAGCTGTCTCTCCTGGCTTGCTGTCAGTGAAAAGGGGACTTTGAGGATTCCTTGCTACAGGCTGTATGAATTCTCCCGTCTCCTAAGCTTGATGGGTGTCACTTGAGTAAGTAGTATTCTCCCAGCTGTAGGGATTTTGAACACAGCAATGTGCAATGTGTTATATAAGTGTCATCTCTTCGATGTCTTTGCATTTGCTTGTGCTTTTGATGTCTTATGGAGAGCTTCACAGGTTACTGAATGAGAGTTTGGAAACCTCAGGGAATGTCATTGAACCAGACGTTGTGAGGTTTCCTTCATTAAAGAGTGCTTTCTTTATTAGAACCACTGTTTATTTCTTCAGTTTTAAAGCATTTTATTAATTGAGGCTGAATCTCATCAGAACAACATGAAACTTGGTTTTAATTTTTCCTGTCTGCAGTACAGCTTGAAACTATTCCTGGAGCAGACAGTGCACTGTCTTACACTAATTTGGTACCTGGATCTTCATTTTTTACCTTTAGAGCAATAGTTGCATAATTAAAAATTGTTGAAAGTGGGAGTATATCATTTAATGCTGAGGAAGGTCTGAATCTTACGATAGTTGGCAGTCCAGTATTTGGAGTTTTGCTTGAAGAGGCTGCCCTTCTTGCTATCTCATAACAGCCTTGTTGCCGTCGCTTTCTTAGTAAGCTTGTAGTTGTAGAAAAAAGTGAAATGTGCTTCCTACTAAAGGGCGATGTCCTACTTTCTGCCCCCAAATTGCCATGCATTAAAGGTGGGGAAGAAATCATCAGGTTGCTGGCAGTCCCCCAGATAATTCCTCTCTTACTCTGACTTATATATGAGAGCTTTTTTCTGTTGAATATTCTGGCTGATTCTTTGGTTTCTTCCCCCTCGCCCTTGGAAGTGATTTCTGATTTAGATCCCCCTCAACAAAGCTTTTCCCTAACTTTGAGCTTTTAGATCTCCTTCAAATTATTTGATTCTGTAAATTGCAGTATTTCAGCAGGCTAAAAAAAAAAATCACTTTCTGTGTAAAAGTGATGAAATAATGTGAGTTCTTATTGGAAAGTACAAGCTGGGCACAGATTAAAAGTGATAATGTTGAAGTATGGGCTGCTCTAGACTTGCTTTCACTTTGGCTAGGCCAAATGTATGATATAGTGGATCAGAATGAATAGCAATTTCTTTGCTTGTGTGTTTCAATTCCAAAGTTTGTTTGCCTCAGTTTTGGAAAAATACTAATCTAATCTTAACTATTTATTTTTCTCCTTTTTTTTTTTTTTTTTTTTAGCTGCTGATTTGTTCACAGATCTGGAAAATGCATTTCAAGAGAAAATCGATGCAGCTTATTTTGAAACCAGCAAGTACCTGCTGGATGTTCTCAATAAGAAGTACAATTTACTGGAACACATGCAGGCCATGAGGCGCTACTTACTACTTGGTCAAGGAGACTTTATCAGGCATTTAATGGACTTGCTCAAGTAAGAGAGTAGGAAGGGTAATGACGTTGTATTTCTGATGCTTGCAAATGTGCATGATCAGCCCAGAAACTGTTTTTGTTTTGGAAGAGGACCCTTTAAGTATCTTATTACTCAAAGGTTTAATTGAACAACTCTTAAATTCCATTTTGGGTTTAATTTCTTTGACCCTGAGGCTTAAAATTTGTTCTTCCTTTTTGGTAGGAAGTATGTACAGTACCATTTCACAACGTCTTGAAAAGTTGCACTAATATTGGTATCTTTATGCTGACCCTGTGTCAGCCTTGAGGATGATGGCACTCGCTCGTGTCGGCAGGTTTAAGCAGAAAAGTTCTGGTGCTCTTGATGACACTAGTTGGCATTGCTGTGAATGTTAGGCTTCAATATTTTGGAGGTGTTTGGTCCAAAATGTTGTGTCAAAACCCCTCAGTGCATTTTTAAAAATTTAATTGATGCCTCACCAGCCTTTCCTTTAAGCACTCAGGTACACTCACAAGTATCAGTTTCAGTTCTTAGAGTATTTGCAAGCTCACTGCTTTTACATGTTGGTGCTACTGATGAAATTTAGGCTGTCAAAAATGACCTTTACAAAGCTTTCCTTTGGTCTAGAAGGCAGCCTCTGTAGAGCTTCCATTAACTTGCTTGTAAATCAAAATCAACATTGTCTGGTGACGATTTGTACGTGACCATGCTTTTTTGAGTGAAAATTAGTGTGAAGCAGAATAAGGTTGGTTTGTGGAGTCAGTATTACATCTGAGACAGAAGTAGTGAGGGGCTTTCCAGTACTGATTATGGGGGAGAAGTAGTTACAAAGTGCTTGTTACTTGCATATTGCAACTCTCTGGAAAGTTTTTCTTACATAGAGGGTGGGTTTGTGTGCTTCTGCCAGCACTTCTAAGCCTGTGAGATGGCTGTCAGTAGGTCTCTCAAAAATGAAATGAAATTATTGGTTTGATGTGTTAATGATGTAATCTGCCTCATTTTAGGTATGAATGCAACTCAAAATTACAGAATAGTTATGCTAGCAATCCTGGTAATTTCAAATTACTGGCATTAAATGAGGATAAAGTTACTCTTCATGCTGATGTTCAGGTGTATAGCTGCATATGAATAGACGTATTCTGCTCAAATGTTTTGCTCATTTACTTTCTTCATGGTTAGGTCTGAAAGAGTAATGTGAGAGGTTTTGAAAGTCTGTCAGAAAAGTGTTTCACTGTGTGCTGCAGTTACTGCCAAATTGCTGCTGCAGAGTATCTCAGTAATAGGCCATGACTGTTTGTTTCATAACCACCAGGCCAGAGCTTGCACGACCAGCTACAACCTTATATCAGCATAATCTAACTGGAATTCTTGAAACGGCGGTGAGGGCAACTAATGCCCAGTTTGATAACCCTGAGATTCTCAAACGATTGGATGTTCGACTTCTGGAGGTCTGTTGCATCATGGTCGCTCTGACCCGAAACATACTTTTTGTGCGTGTGTGTGTGTGCGTATACATGCAGACATCTATATGAAACAAAATTTTCATATGTGTGTGTAGTAAATACATCCCCCCCTTTCCATTAAAGTCTGCTTTGAATTATGTAAACCTCATTTAATAAGTCTTCTCTTCTTTTCCCATTTCCTGCCAATTGTCTGTTTGTATTTCAAGCTGTGGGTTTAGAGCTGTTTCATTGACAATACAAAGTTGAGTATTTGGGGTCTAACAGTAATTGATGCTGGTGGCCCTGTTTTGAGGTTGTGCAAACAGCTCCTACTGCTGTTGCTGTTAGAAGAGGGGTAGTCTCTTTGTCGCCAGTAGTTACGAAGAGTGAAGCAATGAAAGTGTTTCATGAAGGAGACCTCTAGTAAGAAACTTGAGTTAATGAGAAATCTCCAGTCCCGGAGGTGGGAGTTAACTGACAAACTCTTTAACACCTGAAGTAAGTCTGTACCTTAGGCTGAGTCCTGCCAAAGAAATTTTTCCTTCTCTTCACTTCCTTTACTAGCTCTAATGGAAAAACATTGACATTACAAATGTCAACATTTGGATGAGATGAATCTCACCCTTGTGTCAGACTTCAATTAATTTTTGCTTAATCTACTACTTTTGACAAGGAGCTCCTATATCTCTTCTTAATGTGGGTGCTTGTTTTTTTCATAGTCTGTGGAGAATGGAAGAGTAAGCTAGAATTGGTCTTCAGCACTAGTATGCTCTGATTATACACTGAAAGTAGCATATCTTTTTAATACAGGTATCTCCTGGGGACACTGGATGGGATGTCTTCAGCTTGGACTATCATGTTGATGGACCAATAGCAACGGTAATGTCATATTGTGCTGGCTGTGAATGTCTCAGATACTAATTTTCTTTTGTTTTGTTTTAAATTGAAATAACCTTTTTTATTCTACAGTGTAAGATGAGAGAGTCCTTTTTTTTTTTTTGGCATCTAGGATGCACCCACTGTATAAACAGTTGAGCTAAAATCTCAGTTCTTGTAAATTAACTGTAAGTGCTGAAAAGCTACATTTAAAACAGTCATTACTGAAAAATCAGTAATTCGTTTGTTCCAGCAGAGATTTTAGCAAGTACTTAATAAATGGAGTGCTCCTCTTCTTCCATTATTACTAGTCTGCGGCTGCTAATTTGAGATAATTTTCAAGGAACCAAATAATGTATTTGAGGAGAACCTATTTGTACTGTCTAAATGGAACTTGATAGATAGCGTTTATTAGAACTACTGAAAAAAACCCAGCTACGGTATTGATCAGAATGCATTTCGGCTCTGTAAAGAACTAGTAAAGATTTTTCTTTTTTTTTTTTAAGCAGGACATTAAAATAGGAGTCTGACCAGCAGAATGCATATGAAAAATGTAGGTTGAAAAGAGCAAAATGTTTAGGCTTTGTCATGTTCACACCTTCTTACACTTCCTGCAGTGCCCTGTGCCTACATGAATGTTAGGTAACTCAGTTCAGCCCTTGAGGGAGGATCTTTCCAAAAGCTCTGGTGTTTCCAGGGATTTTGTTGTGACAATATTTACCAATAAACTGCATGGGTCAGATAAGAGGAGCTGCGAAGAGATTCTTCGTCCTTAAGAACACATGGTATGTCTATTAAATTTGTACTGATCTGTTTGTTTTGTAGGTATTTACACGTGAGTGCATGAGCCACTATCTAAGAGTATTTAATTTCCTTTGGAGAGCAAAGCGAATGGAGTATATTCTTACTGATATATGGAAAGGGCACATGTGCAATGCAAAGCTTCTGAAAAGTATACCAGGTGAGAGAGGCCCAAATGGGTGACATACTTGTAAACTGGATTTAGATGACTGCATCTTATTTTAAGCTGTGTGTTAAGAGGGAAGAAAAAAATTCTGTTGGGACAGGTGTATTTTATATTTTGTTGCTCTTCTTGACTGACTGTTTAATAGTAGATGATGATGAAGATAACATTAGTGTGAATGGAAGTTTCCTGTTTGTTTGTTTTACTTAATCCTTCATTGTGAGTTTTTGTAGCAGCGAGCAAATGAAACATCCCATGTCTCTGGAAAAAGGCAGTTACTCTTCCATCCCCTTTTATTCATCTTCCTTGATGCCTTCCTATCTGTACCCTGTGTCTCACTCTTTCTCGTGCTGGAGTTAATAAGTCTCACACATGCACACTTCGGAATGTATTAGTTTTACCTTCATGCGTTCCCTGGGCTTTTGTTTAGTTAAGAATAGAAGAAGCTAAGAAGAGAAATGGATGTTTGAGAAGAAATAGGAACGCTGTTAAGTGTAGTGGCTCTGGTATATGTTTAATGGACTGGGAGTTTTTGATCCTACTTCTCAGATGAGAATATTTATGAGCATCTGTACGGGCTCACTCTTGACTTCTTTTACCTGTCTACATTTCTCTCATTAAAAAATAGCTGTGGAGAGTTATGCTTCTTTGTGGCATAGTAATATTTGCAAGGATTTATTTATATTTTTGTAATTAGGAACTGTTTGGCAGATGGGCATGAACACCTTAGCTTCAGAAGGTCGCTGGGAAACAAGCTCTTGTAAAGTCTGCTGTAGTGCAGCAGGCTGATCTCTGGAATGTACAGGATGACTAGGTTTCCGTTTTTTGCTTCTGGGAGATAGGATTTAGTTTATTTTCATTTCTCTGTCCCAAATAAGTGTGTCTTTTGACTCAAAACCAGTCATCTATTGTGTTCTTGCTTTCTGTTCCCTTTGAGACTAGGGTGCAGTTAACAGATTCTATTTTCACCACCTAAGGATCTTCAGGTTGGAGCTGTCTCCTGTTGCTAAGGTTTCATTTCAATTTCATTCCCATTGCTAGGGTTCTCAGGAGCAAGTTTGGTTTTTTCTTTCTTCCTTTTTTTTCTCATGCCGCCTTTGGGAGGCCTTTCTTCTGCTTTGCCATGGAGCAATCTTCTGTAGGTAAAAGGTCAGTTGCTTGCTCCCTTTAGGTTTGTCTGTGTTTTGAGTAATGCAGACATCTAAAATGCTGGCCAAGCTGTTATAGCTATTGTTGGCAGAAGGAGCCAAGTGTGGTATTTCTCACTCTGTGCCTCTGACAAAGGAGAGTATGTTTACAAAGACCTGTACTGCCTTCTGTCTGGAGGGGCAGGCATCTTTCTCGCTCACTGGAATGTCTAAGTTGGAAGCTGCGAGTAGAATTTTTTTCTGAAATACATGGAAAGTCCACCCCAGCACTGATTTACGAAGAAATAGTAGAACTTGCTTTTATTTTCTCTCTCTCCCTCCAAAACAGTACCATGCCCTTCCAGTCACAGAGCATCAAAAGGAGGACAGTAACTGACAGGAGGAAGCAGCTACAGGGTCTTTTGTTTTTCAACCATAAAGAAGTAGCGTTAACTTTCAAGGATAGCTTCATTTACGATTCCCAAAAGGTCTTAACAGCCAGGGTTTTTAATGCTTAAAGGAGTACTTCTAGACAGTAGTGTCAAGCTCACTCTTTTCCTGTAAGTAATTGGAAGAAGAAACACAGATGTATCCAACTCAATAATGTTGAGGGATTTCTGTTGTTTAGCTAGCCCTGGAGGTTTTTTTCATTGATCCTATTTAAAAGAAATGCAACATAATGTGTTAGGGATAGACTTCCTGCAAAGGCATAAGAGTGGAGTACAGAGTAGCTTGTTGTAATATCTTGCAGATCATTGGGTGGTCCTGTAACATCCCAAGATCTGAAAATGTAAATACCTTTTGTTATAGTCTCATAGCTTGTCTTCAGTGGCAAATTACTTTGGCAGCTTTTTAGAAATTACTTCCTCTGTCTGGGTATCTGCTTGATTACAGAAGGCTGAGTATCTTGTGGCAAATTACTTTGGCAGCTTTTTAGAAATGACTTCCTCTGTCTGGATATCTGCTTGATTACAGAAGGCTGAGTATCTACATTCCAGATAATTTTTGCAGTTGATGGTAATCTTGATATTACCCTTTCGCAATAGAGGTACCTTCTCTTACAGGTGAGCAGCCGCGGCCATTAGTGACTTACCTGTGGGTCTCTGTTGTGGATCAGGGAATTGAACCCTGGACCACATGGGCCACAAATTCCCTAC